TAAAGTTAGAATTCTGAGATTAAAGTTAGGATTCTGAGATTAAAGTCAGACTTCTGAGATTAAAGTTAGAATTCTGAGATTAAAGTTAGGATTCTGAGATTAAAGTCAGACTTCTGAGATTAAAGTTAGAATTCTGAGATTAAAGTTAGGATTCTGAGATTAAAGTCAGACTTCTGAGATTAAAGTTAGAATCCTGAGATTAAAGTTAAAATTCTGAGATTAAAGTTAGAATTCTGAGATTAAAGTCAGACTACTGAGATTAAAGTCAGACTTCTGAGATTAAAGTTAGAATCCTGAGATTAAAGTTAAAATTCTAAGATTAAAGTTAAAATTCTGAGATTGAAGTCAGAATTCTGAGATTAAAGTTAAAATTCTGAGATTAAAGTCAGAATTCTGAGATTTAAGTCAGACTTCTTAGATTAAAGTCAGAATTCTGAGATTAAAGTCAGACTTCTCAGATTAAAGTCAGACTTCTGAAATTAAAGTTAGAATTCTGAGATTAAAGTTAAAATTCTGAGATTAAAGTCAGACTTCTGAGATTAAAGTCTTTTTTTTCCATATTAAACTGAAATAAAAGTAAAAAAAATCTGTTTTGTTTTTTTGTTTTGTTTTTCTCAGTATCCCTAACGCTCTTCCGTAGATTAGTGATGTTCTGGCTGATTGTGGTTTCTTAGTATCCCGGGTTGTTTTGACAGAAAGTAGTTCTATTCCCAGTCATGATGGGTCAAACCTGTTCCAAACAAAGACACTTTCTGTATCGGGATGACAAAAAAAAATTTACAAACAGGTGATTCACACAGGAAGCAAACACCAAAATAAACAAATAAACGCAGCAACTGACATAAGCTTTGTATTACAAATCCAAACAGAAAAAAACGGTTAATTAAGAGCGGATAGAATAAGGGACTATTTTGGGTGGAAATCAGAAAAGGAAAAAACACGCAGGCAAAGTTTGATGGCGCCTCCCTCCCTCCTTCCTTCCCTCCAGACCCGAGGCAACAGTGGAGCCTTTCAGGTGAACCATCGAGGCCACAGAAACCATTCCACTGAAACAACTCCTCCATTAAACCGGTGTCCTGTTAACGGACACTACCGCACACAAACTGTCATCAAAGATGTGAGAACAAGTTAGAGCTTCAACTTACCAGCTAATGAGGAGCCTAACTGCTGTTTCTGATGTCTCCCCCCGAACTGCCGCTCACTTCCGGTCCGGAGACAAGGCTGTTAAAGCGTTATTAGCGTTTCGGAGCAGAGCAGCAGATGTAAAGCAGCAGAGAAGAGGTTTTCCAGGAACTGCGGAGAGAGAAACGGCTGCAGGGTGGAGTCCAAAGGAATCTGTTGAACACACCCATCCACCCACAGAGGGAGCCACGGGGCCTCCTGTCGCTCCAACCAGTAAAGGACCCAGTCTGGGTTACCCCTCTTTATCAAACAACAATCATATTCTGCATCTTTATACTTCTTTTCTAGTAATTTCCATCATTATAAGCAGAGGCTTTGAATTTAGCTGATGTGACTCACCACCCAGGGTGTAGCTCCACTAGGGGGCGACAGAAGCTCTCCCTTAGCAGGTTATCTGTGGTTTCCTCTTACTTCAAATTGAAAAACTCACACGAAGAGAAAAGACAATTAGGAGAAATTTATTGATTCAATTACTTGTCTTTGGCACTCAGACATCAGCAGGAATCACAGGGCTGAATGTTGTTTGATATGTATGAACAGGAGTAAAGAATAGGGCTGTTTCCCCCCAGGCCTGAAACTGGTGGAGGAGTGGAGATGATGTAGACAGTCAGTCTGTAGACTGCTGGTTAGCGAGACGGTCTGCTGAGCTTTATGGGGAGATCCAGTGGATTGCGTCAGCTGATACGAGGTTTACTCAGGGACCTGGAGGATGGAAGTCCAGTTGGATAACACAGGTTTAGAGAACCTGTCCATGATGAGCAAGCATGAAGCAACAGTGGAGAGGAAAAACTCCCCCTTGGGAAGAAACCGTTGGCAGAACCAGGCTCAACATGGCGATCTTCTGCCAGACTAGTTGAGATGAGACAGGGAACGCAGTAAGAGTCTGGGAGGAATGACACTCTGATGAATCTTTAGCTACGATGGTGGAGGAGGGGCTGGAGGTGGGTTGAAACTGTGTCATCTGAATGAAGTCACAGCGAATCCGCCGGCTGCCCACAGGAGCAGACAGGTGCTTATCGAAGACCTTTTAAGATGAACTTTGGATGCTGATTGGCTTTCATGGAGGTGTGGTTCAAAGCTGATTGGCTGTGTCGCAGGTGGATGTAGGAAAACAATGAGTTTCTTCAGTTGAACTTCCACCTAGACTCCATTTCAAAATAAGGTATCTTCGGCTTTATCAAGTCTTTAAGAGAGGCAGCTGCAGCATTGTGACTTGAACCTTTGATGTCATTTATATATATGTATATTATATATATATATATATATATATATATATATATATATATATATATATATATATATATATATATAT